TTCCACATGCTATTTTCACACATATGCATTTACAAAAGCAAATATGAACATGGTAAGGAAATGAATAAAACATCTTTGAGAATTTAAGAATGTTAACAAACATATATGAACCACACAAGATCAATATCATAAAAAAAAAATCAAGTTGCAAGTTGAAAAAATTTAAGAACATCAAGGTAAAAACCCTAAAAACACATGTTTTTCAAGTGAATCAAAGTCTTTCTAGGATAGCAATCCTTGAATTATTTCTTCATGAGATTAGACATTATAAAGAGTAGTTTGTAAAAAGAATGGCATCAATAGCATAAAAAATGAGCAAGTTATGGTCATTCAAAGTTGGTTCACCAATGGGGGCAAAACTAGGGCAAGGCAAAGTAAGGCAACTTAAGTCATTTGCATGAAGAAGTGGAACTCAGTCAAAACTTAACCAAATGGATTGAAACAAAATTTCAAATTGTTTATTTTTAAACAAGGAATTCAATGGTACAATTATTTTCCATACAACACACTCACTGGAAAATTCGATAGCATCATTGTTTAGGCAACTTTAGTCACAACCAAAAGCATGAGCATATGGACAGTCCAAAACAGAGCAAGGTTTGATGAAACAAGTATGCAAACATTACACATACATCATTTATAGTGATTGGCTCAAGACAAGTCATAAAATGCACACATGGATTGACAGATTGGCATCAAAATGCACATGGTGACCTAACTTGCCTTAGGTTCTGATCAGCATCTTGGACAGTCAAGAAATCACAATTTCTAATGCAAATGGTGGTTCATACATGACATATAACACACATATAACATTTTCAAATAATGTCTAGCATAAAAACAAAGTTACAACTCAACATAGCATGTGAAATGCAAAGCAAAATTTCAAGTTTCAAGGGTTTAGGCTTACCTCTTGAAGCAACCTTGTCAAATAAGAAAACTAGAGGTCTTTGCTATCTTGATATAATCTGCAAATAGTCTTTGAATGATGAATACCATCTCCAATGATCCACAACCCCACTGTTGAACAAAATGGCTTGAAAAGTGAAGAAAAACCTCAGAAATCCATGATTTTACAAAGCAACATGGTCCAATCTTTGTTACAGAAGTGAAAGCTTGATTTGGACAACTTCTATATGCTATTTATGAAGTGTTAGAGGTGTGCAAAGAGTTGGAAATGAACTGTAATGAGTTATGGCTTGAAAGATGCAGATAGTTGACTTTTTTGGTTTTGGAGGTTGACTTTGAGAAGAGAATGGTTTCTGGTGCAAGTGGTAGCTTGGACAACTCTAGAGAATCATTTGAAACTTGTGTGGAGTGTTAGAAAGAGTGTGGAATGGCTGAAAAATGTTTTGGTGCAAGTTCTATCCAAGACAGATTTTGGCACTTTGAAGTTTTGGTTGGATTTGCAAAGGAGTTTGCAACTGGTGAGGGAGAGTGTTTGTGGCTGGCTTTCTTGTTTTAATTGTGTGTTTTTTATGCATGGAAGTTTTCCTATTTATAGGTCAAACCACATGATCAACGGTGAGGACAAATTTGGAGTTTTGATCTTAGAGGGAAATTTGGATAAAATATGTCCAAGATTTGGTGCAGTTGGAATTTAATGTTCTTGACTCAATGTGATGTACAAATCAAGTTTTATGAGGGCCATGGAAGTGACTGAAGTGAGGCTAAGGAGTAGGGCAACTGCAGCTGCAGATTTCTTCATGAAAAAGTTTCTCTTTCCTCTTGATTTTTGAATATAATATTGCAACTTGCTTTGCCAATCTTGTCAAGTCCCTCAAGCCTTCACCCTTTCTGCATTTCTACTCATTATACTCTCTAAATATCAGATCAAATGTTGATCAAATGACTGAGAATAGCTTTTATGGTTGGCAAGTTGATTTGTGACAAATTTGGAATGGTGCATTCAAGTGTTTGGACCCCAACTTGCCTCCTTCGAAACTCCTATCTCACAAATGCTATGGAGGAGTTCTTGTACTTTTTGGAAAGCCCTCATTATTATCTAAAACTTTCATATTTTAGTAATTTTCAAATTCCAAGTGGAACTAGGTCAAAAACATCCTTGAAGTTGGCTGAAAACATGACTTGAAAAGTGCTAAAAATGTGAAATTTCACTAAGTGTTTTCCCCTCTTATATTTATTTTGACCATAACTCAAGATACATTCATTTTTTGGACATGGAAATTTTTTTCACTTTTGTAGAGCTTATCAATACCTTTCCAACAAGCTTTGAACCACTCCAATTGGATGTGTGGTTTAAAAGTTATGGTCTTGCCCCTTTCAAAACCCTAACTTCCCGATTTTTCGATTGCTCTTCGATCCTTGATCCAATGGTCATAAAACTTCATGAATAGATGTAATATAACATTAGGAACATAGTTGCTTTCAATTTTTGGGTCAAAACCCTTTTGGTCAATGAGTTGACTTTTCAGTCAAATGAACCGATCGATCGGAAAACCCCGGATCGACTGTTGATGTTCTGGGTCTTCTGAGGTCTTGAAACTTCTTGAGTGGACTTCCACAAGTCATACAAGCTTCATGGACCATCATTCCATCATTGGAGTACCATTTAAATCAAAATTCAAACCACAGTTGACTTTTCCTAATCAAAAACCCTAATCGGGGGTTCTGGACTGCACTATTCCTCTTCTTTGGGTGACAAACTCAAATTGGATTCATACTTGATCCAATATAGTATCTTTGATGGTGTGGGGACTTGTTTCATGGAGAATCAATCCATGACATTGACTAATCAAGCCATCGAAACCCCGACTCTTGACTGTATGGAACCCTAATTCACGTGTATCTTGACAAAGACAAACTTGAAGTAGGTTAAGGGTTAGATAAACAACTGATGATTCTCTTAGAATGATAATGAATATCTAAGGGTCAAAATTTGGGGTATAACAACTGCCACTTATCTGGGGATACGGATAAAAATGATAAGCTTCTCGGGAGAGACTGCCACTTATCGGGAAAAAGTAACGGAAACAAGTTTCTCGAGGGAGACGACCACTTGTTGGTGGGCATGATGAAATAGGATAAGCTTCTCGGGCAAGACTGTCACTTATCGGTGCGGTAAAATGATAATGATAAGCTTCTCGGGTGAGACTGCCACTTATCTGCAATAAATGGTGACTAATGATAAGCTTCTCAGGAAAGACTGCCACTTATCTCGAAAAATGGATATAGGATAAGCTTCTCTGGCGAGACTGCCACTTATTAGGTGTAAAGGTAAAATGATAAGTTTTTCAAGCGAGACTGCCACTCATCGTCAATGAGGATTTGTAAATGATTCTTCTTGAGATATATAGTGCAAAATAAATGCACACTCCAGTTAGGTTCGACGACCTAAGTAGATTTAGAAAATAAATCTCCAGGGACCAAAGTTCGATCTAGGAATAAATTAGAAAGAAACGGTCAAACAAGACTCCAACCTTTGAAGAATAAACTCAAATGAGAATTCCTCTTATCCATGCATGAAAAAGATAACTAAAATAACCATCATCCACGAGGATTGAACTCTGTGAAAAAACTAGAAATAGTAGATATGCTTAAGTGTGATAACAATGATTGAATCTTAATTTAATTAGCCATCTTAGTATGATAGAAAAATGGAAAAAGTTGTGTGTGAAAGGATCCTTCTAAAACAATTGCAAACATGAGCAATCATTGACACAACATATAAATGATAAATACTTTGGAAAAGTAAGCATACCTAATATATAGGAATGAGATTCACGATAAAATGTAATCTTTGTTCTTTGATTCAACGAAAAATTAAAAGTGAATATTGAGTATTTTAGAGATTTTTGAAAATGAAAAAGTTGAAGTAGGAAAAGAAGCATCATGATTGTGTATGTAACACTACATACCTCAAAGAGTACTTCTGATAAGTTAATAACTTTTTTGAAAATAGTCTAAATAAACATTTGTGGTCCCTAAAACATGTCAAAGGTAAAAAAGCGAATTTCACTTTTATGTGGAGTGTGTGTGACAAACTATCCACTAGAATGTCACTAGAATGTTTGTTTACGTAAGTAAAATTAAATTTCTCGTTGGTTCAATGAACATTTAAAATTAAGTGTGAAATACTCTTTCCATTTTAAAAAGATTGTCATTTAAAATTTTTGCACACAAATTAAAAAAATATAATAATATTATCATGAAATATTGCAGGTTTACTAAATTAATCTTATAAATATATTAAAAATAGTGTATAGATTAATAATTAAAGACAATAATTAGAAAAATAACAATCATTTTTATATTGAAAAGTTAAAATAACATTTATTTTAAAAGAAATTTTACTTACTAAAATAACACTCATTTTAAAACGGAAGGAGTATAATTCAGTTGTTCTGTTTAAAAGAATATATTATTTACAAATTGTAGCATGACTCATTAAAAGAATATATTATTTACAAATTCTAGAGTCATTGTGATTGACATCCATTTTAAAGAACACGTTTAAAATCACTGCTAGATGATTGAAGAATAAAAAGGGTGCTTCTTCATTTTGAATGTGATGGAAATTTGCAAGTAATTTATGTAAAAAGTTGTTTTCAGAAGAACATTATGGTGTGACAAATGGTCATCATACACATACAAACACAAGGTAGAAGCTAGAAAGAACATTATGGTGACAAATGATGTTCATACACAACACAAGCATACAGAAGGTAGCATTTTGAGAAGAACATTATGGTGAGACAAATGATATTCATACACAAGAATACAGAAGGTAGCATCCTCATTATATTGGTGTTTTGATCACCTATAAATCACAGAAGTACTTCAGATGCCTAAATCTTAGGACATTGTTTATAAGGATATCACTGTCTAGGAGATAATGTAACTGGCTTTAGATCAAGAATTACACTACTTGCCTAAGTTGCAAGTAACGCGCTAAAGATAAATATGAACTATGCAGTCATAGACTCTTACTGATAAAGATGCATTGTTCTAATATTTTACATACACAGTCAAAACTGTTGTCAGTGTCTACAGTTGTTGCAAAAATGACTGCTAACATTATTGTTACGAACTCCACAGTTGTAACAGAAGGCAATTCCACACCTGCAAAATAAAAGAAAATTCAAACACCAATTCACAAATTTCCCATATCTTTTAAAGTAACCAGATAAATCGACTCGAATCATATGCATGAATGTTGTGCTTTAGAGAGCTTTGTAGTATGCGGTGAATACGAACCCTTTAGAAGTAAAGAAACTCTTTTTAGATTCATTCGATAACCGATGTATCTGGTCTACATACAGATAACATACAATAGTTGTTAAATGAATCTAAAAAGAGAATCTTTGTTTATAATAGTGATCAGAGGGAGTAATAACTTGTAAGTGTTGTGTAGTGAAGGCAAACCCAAAGACAAAAAAGAAAGTAGTGAAAAAGCCAGACAACAGATATACATGACCATAATAAACTAACTGAAAACAATAATCTCTGACAGAGAATTCCCTAGTAATAAAAGATACATGAAATCTGCCATGACTCATGATATGTGAAGGAAATAAATGGGATGAAGAAAGTGAAATAAAATAGAACATGTGAAGGAAATAAATAGGTAAAATGAAGAAAGTGAAATAAATGAGTATTTTATGTATTCCAGTATTATTGTCTGCCCAAGATCGAATATTTGGATCCGTCACCGAGCACATGAAAGCGAAGCCAACATTTACCGTCAAAGCTTTAATATCTCTAAAAAAGGAGATTTGTTAAATATAATAGAAAAGAAGCATCTGTTATTTTATCTTGACTATCAATCAGTAAGTTGCAGAAGATCCCAACAGAATTTTACAAAAAAAGGTATGCAATCAAGAAATTTGACCACGACATCAAAGATTTTATGTCATGTTACTGCAACACAATAGGGATTGAGGTTCCATTTGACTGCAATTTTCCATAATACCAAGCAGTGTTGTCAATTGCAGATAGCGAATTGTTAAATTGTGCTATAGCGGCTATTGACAACATTTTGTACTAAATAGACAATAGCGGTTTTTCTGAATTCCGTTATGCTATAATGGTATAGCACCACCATAGCAGTTATTTAACGACTGTAGACTGCAATACAACCAGTCCACAATCTCAAAACTTGCTGCCAAACACAAAGTTAAAAGTGTCGCATCAAATCAAAAGACCTTGAACAAAATTGCTTGGGGAATGTTCTCAATTAAAAACGACAAACTACCCACAATCTATGTCGTACAATGTTGTCAATCGCATATTGCGGGAAAAACCGTTTGTTTAGATCCGCCATATCGCGGGAAATAGCCGTTTGTTTAGATCCGCCATATCGCGGGAAATAGCCGTTTGATTAGATCTGCCATATCGCGGGAAATAGCTGTTTGTTTAGATCCGCGATGCTACAGAGCTATACATACAGCTAAACAGCCACTATACGACATAGGACAATGCAAGTAGCGTATCACAAAACAATAGCGACTTCTTCAAATTCCGCTACACAATAGCGCTATAACACCACTATTATCGCTACTTGACAACATTGATGCCATAAATGACCCTTTTCAACGACTTGTACAGAATTCGACAAACCCAAAACAGAGGAGAAACAATGAATCACCTTCCCTTACCACAAGATATTTTGAATACCCCCTTCCTGCTAAACCAAATGTTTTCTATTATCCAATACAATAAACACCCAATTTTGATCTATACATTCTACATGCATTTCATCAAATACTCATGTGGTTGTTTTTCTATCATCAATTATTTATCACCCACAAAGTTCAAAATAACCCTTAGCATAATAGTTCCATTTTCAAAACATATGAAGCATTGACACAATCACATTTACAGCATAATACAAGCATAATACAGCATAATAAAGTTTAGATGTTGACAACAATGATACCACTAGTAATATAAGAAAATAACCTGCATCTCATGAACAAGCAACCTTGCGATTTCGCAACATAGAACCTACAATTAGGGCATCTCCTCCAATTCATATCCTTCGCGAGCCGCATCAGCATAACATCGTCTTTCCCTCTCTCGTCCGCGTTCAGCTTCTGGAACTCGCTGCATTCGATCCCATCGTGCCACGGAACCTTACATTGAGCACAAAACATCTTACGACAATTCGGACACTCCGAATTCATAACAGTCTCCGTCCCATCATTGATCAAAAGAGCAGAACAATCAGCATACGGACAATAGAATTTCTCAGATACATCAAACAACGCCTCACACGCCGCCTTCCCCCACCGATCAAAAACCTCCACCGGAAGAATCGAACGACAATCCTCAGCTTCCAACAAACCACTGCAACCAGAAACAGGACATCTTACATTGATCACGTTATCTTCCAGCTTCGAACTTACGTACAAAGCCACGCAATCAGAGCAATACGCATGTGAACAACCGCCGATGAAGAAAGCGTCGCTCGCAGTTTTCGTTTCCGTGCAGATTTCGCAGCTAAATGGTACGACGTTCTTATTCGCATTAGCCGACGAAGACTCACCTTTTTCCACGTTGATCCTTTGTCGTTTTCGCAAAGGATTGATTTTGGGAACGAAATTCAGTATCCTAACTTCGTCGTCGTCTTCACCGTCGGAAAGGTCGATGACGACGGGGGTGGAGGTTCTGGTGGTGGTCGGAGGGAGATGAAATGATTCGACGTCGATTACTTCTGTCGTTGATGGGGGAACGACACTAGTTGTGGTGGTGGATGCTGTCGTTTTCATGGTGACTGGATTTGAAGTAGGGTGTTGAATTGATGGTTTGTGATGGTGATGAGTTATAGACTACACTGTCACTTTTCTTACTCGACTCGTTTGCAAATTCATGAACCAATTCAAATGGTATTTATTATTATTTTTAACTATTGGTTTGGTTCATGAAATTATGAATATTGGGCCATTTTAGTTCTTCAAATTGAAATTGCAAGTTCTTTTAGTGTGATATTTTAAAATTAAGAGGGTAGAATAAATAAAATAAAGATTTTATTATATTGTTTGAATGTTTTTAGGATGAAATGAATATGATTTTTTTTATTTAAATCCAAAGAAAAAAAAAGACGGCAGGTGGTAAATGAAATGAAATTGAATATAAGTTATTTTATAATTTTGAGTTAAATATCTGTGTATTTTCTTTTAGGGTTGAAATCAACAAGAATATTGAGAGAAATGCGTCTGAGTTTCGCTCCATTCAGTTTTAAATAAATAATGAGATTTTGTTCTATCTTACCTTATGATAACGAAAAACACCATATCAAAAGGAGTTAAGGGCGTTTGAAATCTATATCTTTGATTACCATCGTATATGTGCACGAAAGTCACATTGTGTTTATTGAAATCAACTTTCGCTCCAAGGGGAAATTTATTTTCTAGTATGAAGAGCTCTGAACTTCCACCTCGACTAATAGATTTGAAAAAAATGAATGCAAAAATCATTGATTCACAAAAAGTTGTTTCTTTTAATCATGTTGTATGTATGAAAGAAGGGGAAATTGTGAAAGACGAGAGGGTGAGTCTTCAATTATGAAAAGAGAATGTTGAGATGAGAGAAAGATTAAAGTTTTGAAAGGAAAATGTCAAATAATAAAAGGATTTACGAATGTGAATTGATTCTCTTCAAAAAAAGGGTAAGTAGATCGAGAGGGAGATAAGAGGAGATTTCGAGTGATCATACCTAATGAAGAGTGAGTGGCCAACAAGAGCAAAAGAGAATGATTTTTTTCACCGAGAGCAAATAATAAATACCATTTAAAATGGTTTATGAATTTTCAAACGAGTCTTCAAGAGTAAGAAAAGTGACAGTGTAGTCTACAACTAGCTCACAATCCCAAACCATCAATTCAACACCCTACTTCAATTCCAGTCACCATGAAAACGACAGCAACCACCACCACAACTAGTGTCGTTCCCCCGTCAACGACAGAAGTAATCGACGTCGAATCATTTCATCTCCCTCCGACCACCACCAGAACCTCCACCCCCATCGTCATCGACCTTTCCGACGGTGAAGACGACGACGAAGTCAGGATACTGAATTTCGTTCCCAAGATCAATCCTTTGCGAAAACAACAAAGGTTCAACGTCGAAAAAGGTGAGTCTTCGTCTGCTAATGCAAGTAAAAATGTCGTGCCGTTTATCTGCGAAATCTGCACAGAAACAAAAACTGCGAACGAGGCTTTTTTTCATCAGCAATTTCTCACATGCTTATTGCTCTGATTGCGTGGCTTTGTACGTGAGTTCGAAGATAATATGATCAATATAAAGAGCGATGTTTCTAGATATTGTTATTTATTGGAGGATGAAGATGGTCAAAATATGAATTTATACTGAAAATGTGAATACACACTTCTAGAAGCTTACTCTGCATCGGTAATATTTATTTATTACCGTTGAATACTTTAACAAGTCATGTTTAAAAGGTTTTTTTTTTTTTTAAAAATCAAAATTAACAAGAATAGACACTTCTAAAAACTTATTTTACAATAGTAACAATTATTAACGGTGAATACTTCAACCACTTATTTTTAATTAGCCTTTTTATTACTTTCTTTAAATTATTGTGAATACAAGCTTCTAGAATCTTATTTTTCTGAGACTTGGTAAAATGAGGAAGATGCTATGAAAAGACTTAGACATCATCAGAGTGTTTCTCAGATTTTCTAGGAAACAACTTTGAATAATTCAGACTAATTTTCTCCTAACTTTTTTAGCTGAAGTCTTTGAATCAATTCATCCATACATTAAATTTATTCAACATTGTTCCTGTGAAACATTTTGAAGTACTTAAATTTGTAATGTGATCAATTACCTGCTCAGGTGATCAATCGATTGGTTTCATGCATTAAAAAATTTCAAATGTGTTAATTCTTTATATGGTTAGTAAACATTTTAATATAATTCATATTTAATTAATGCTAATATTTATAGTATAGCTTCATTTTATTGTATTTTTCTTACGCGTGAAAAACTCATCAAGAGGCAATATGGACTATCAAGTCGTGCAAGATGTAGTATATATTTTACAATTGATCTTATATTCAATTGATCGATTAGTCATTTATCGTAGAATATTAAAATTAGTTAATTAATAAATAATTTGGAAAAAAAGATAAAAAGGTAAATTAATTAGTCACAAAATGGAAGGAAATAAAATCTGGAATAATAATTGATTAAAATAAAAGGTAAATAGAAGGAATCAGAATAATGATAAGAGAATAAGATAAAAAATAATGATACATAAGAACATAAATGGAAAATAAATAAATTTGAAATAATGTTAAAGAAATAAATTAAAATAATAATTTAAACGGAAAAGAAATAAACTTAAATATAGTAAATAATTTTAAAACAAATTATTGACAAAATTGTAATACAAGGTGCCGAACCAACAACCACGGTCTTCACAGTGCATGTGCAAGGACATCCATATCACACAGTTTTAAATAATTAGGTGTCTCAATTTTGTTTTGGGATTTATAGAAATATAAAATAAAAGATAAATATAACTATGTTTTTGAAAATAAGTAATATTTAGCTTATCGACTAGCGACTACTTTAAGTTTTAGTGCGTATATAGTCGTCGATTTAAATTCAATTTTAAGATATTTGTGCTATTTTTATTTTTTTTAATTTACCACTTTATCATCTGTCTAAAGTCTCCGGATCTGTTAGACCGGTCCAGCTAACCATAATGGTTGTGAAAATAAAGTTTTACCTTCTTGACCATTACAATTGTTATATCAATATTATAGAAAATTTAACATATAAGGTTTACTTATCGGACCTTGTAGTGTTATAATCGTAAAGAATCTCGTTTAGGGTGATGTGTTTAGATTGCTCCATAAAAGGTGACATTGGAGTGTCGCTCAAAAAGAGGTACCGCTTCACCCTACGACTTATTTATTGTTAGGTAATGAGAAATGTGAGATAAGATGTTTTTGGGACTGAGAGAAGTCAATGTCAATAATTGACCCACGGTTTTTTGATAAATAGAGATTCAATGGTTGTTAGAAAGTATTTAGGGGTAGTGTTTTATCGTCTTCACAGGGATTGATGAGAATATAGATTCTTGTCGTTCAACAGTTTAATGTCTTAAGAAAGGGGGATTTTAGAATGGTTTCAATTTTCGTAACTAAAGTTTGCAAGAATTAAAGCTGAATAAAATTCGGTCTAAGTTTGATAAAAACATGTCAAGATTAGGGCTCGCTAGTCCGTCCTAAACGTATCCAACCGATCAAATATGTGAACGAAGTTTTAACCAACATAATCGCGTATCCTCGCAAAAACGTTCATTTCTAAAGCGATTTCGTGAATGTTATTGTTTCGACCGTTAAATGATCTCTCTAAGTAACAATCGAAACAATAAGCATTAAGATCAATACAAAGCGGATATTAACTTTCAAACCTATGTCTAGAATTTGTATGGTTGATAGATGAAGATATTAGGTCAAGACTTGGAAAGTTCATATCTAAAGCAATTCAAACCATAAATGTACAAAGAGTAGCAAATAACTTCATCTATATTTATCACAACATTTGTTCACATACAAAAGATCAAATGGAATACATAAAATCTGAACTAACTATTTCTAACCTTGACAAGAAAGGGGTTTAGCCAACCATTTCCATGATAGCTTGAGCAACAAGTTTCGGAAGAAGGTTGATCAACATCTGAGTCGAATAATCGAGATTGGATGGGAATCCACCAAATCCGTCACAGATCAAAAAACGAAAAATCATAGAAACAAAAGCCGTGAATCCGAAACCACCGACCGCATGGCTCAGAAATGAGAAAATCTCGTCAACATCATCGCCATTTTCACAAACCCAACACGAAAACCATCATCATCCAAGGAGCCATGAATTCGAAACCATTAAAGACGCCACAGAACATAAAGTTCGTCAAAACCCACAGAGGCTCAAAGACGAAGAAGCCTTCGTCGTCATCATTGCCACCATCACCGTGAAAAACACAGCAAAACCATCACCAAAATCCGAAACCACCGCCGCCGTTCAACCTCCGTGAAACACCAAAATGTAAGCCACCGTAGATCTGTTACCACTAATTTTTTTTTTTTTTAGAAAATAGTTGTTGCGGTGGAAATAGGATATCAAACTATAAATTAGCTTGAATCCCAATTCTTAATTCACAACCGCTCTTTGATTTATCCGAAGGAAAAGGTCAAAAGAGGAAAAACCTATTTTTGCATCGTAAACACAATGCGGGGAGAGACCTAGGTAAGGGGTTGGTTAAGCTTAGGGAAGGTACTAGCACCCTAAACGTCTGTAGTACTCTACAGGAACCTTTTGTTTATTTTTGCTATTTACTTTTATTATTTGCTTGAGGTATATATTGCTAAGCTAAGGGATAGAGTGACCTAAAGGACCTAAGGGTTAGTCCTGAGTTTACTCGGCAAGATTCGCATCTTATGCCTACGTATTCTGGGTAGGGAATGGAATCAGAGTAATCGTAGTTCCCCTTGAGAGGGAGGTTAGAAACTTCTTGATTGTGGTCAAGGTTTCAATAGGGAATAAGTGTTTCTTAAGGACACGCTTACGTGGAGTCTTAAAACTCCTATTTCTATGTTGAATTTGTTAATTGAAAATTAGGGTTAAATTAGGGATTCCACGGCGGAAAACCCTAAAATAGAGTACGGCGACTCTTTGACTTAATGCTAGGGTAAAGAGCATTTTCGTCCACGGTAGGACACCTAGGCTAATTAGGGTTTTGAAATGTTCAAAGGAGAGGACTATTGACTCGGCGGTCAAACTGCTAGACCTAATCCTTTGGAAGGTGATTAACGGTAAAAACATGCAAGATATAGCAAATTATTATATGACAAAAATAAAGTACGGAAACAATAAATAAATAGTGAAATCAGTAAAAGAAAAGCATCGCGACGATCACTCGCGTAAATTACAAGTCCAAAATCAAATGAGAAAATGAAATAAACCGCGACGATTACGCGCATAATTACAATTGAAAAATGACAAATACGAGCAAATGGAAAATTGATAAGCTGATGCGAACGAGATAAAGACGAGGGTTAGACAGAAGTTGAAACGGCTAAGTCAAGAATTTTGTTTTAATTTAATTAAAGGAAAATGTTTTGAATTTAAGGTTTTAAGAAAAAATAAAATTATTTTAATTTATTATAATAAAAATTTTAATCTTTAATACTAAAACGGTTTTACTTTTAAACTTAAAAAAGAAAGTGTAAGTTTTTTTTATATACTTAAAATGTTTTAATTTTTAAAATGAATTTACTAAAAAGCGATGAAAAAACTTTTAGTTTTAAAATATTTTATATTTTTTTGGTTTAGCTTGACTAAAGACCAGGATTAATTAGTTTTAGATTTATTAGAAAAACTTATTGATTAAAATGTGATGTTAATTATTTATTCAGAAAAGTTAGCTTTAATCTTTACACAAAATGAATTAGGTTTAATTAAGAAAAATATTTTAACCTTTTAATTCAGAAACTAAATTTACTTTCAGTATCTTAATTAAGAAAAAAATTGTGTTAATTTTAATTGTTGTAATTAAGAAAAAAATTGTTTCTTATTAACTAAAAATGATCTAAATCTTAAATACTCTAACTCCTAAATATACAAATGTTTAAATACTAAAAATAAAATAAAGAAAAACAAACTGAATAAAACGGGGGAGGGTGTGCGTCTGCTCCATTTGGTCTGAGGGTTTTTACCCCTTTTTCATCTTCCTCATTCCTCCGCGCCGCCATGGTTGGTGCTTGAGCTTCTCTGTTTCTTTTCTTTGCATGCAATCCTCCTTCTCTACCATCCATTGTCCCTCACCTGAAATAAAAAATAAGAAACAAAACCACATCTGATAACAGTTTTGGAACGTTACCTTTGGATGACGAGGAAGGTTTGGCCAGCGTCGAAACCTTAAGGTTTCTCCCGCCGCTTTCGATGAATGATGTTGCTTTTCGTATCACTTGACGGATGATGATGATGGAATAAACTGAGGTCGTGGGTCGCTGTTGTCCGTCGATGGTGCTCCGTGATGATGATATTAGTGGTCTCGCTTTTAACCGCCGGTAAATGGGTGATGATCGATGATGTTGAACCGCCGATTCTCTGGGTTTCGTCGCCCGCCGACCGTTCACGCGACGTGTGGCGATGGTGACGATGTCGTGAGCTCGTGCATTTCGCTTGGGTCCCTTTTATGCTTCGATCTCCTCTTCTTTTTTCTT